TTACATTGGCTTCTTAAAAATCTATTCCTTTCAATATTCTCTTATTAAGTGTTGGATTTATTTAGCCCCTGAACTTTGTATTCAGTTCTAAGAAATGGAATTTTGTCTGTTGCCTTGAAAAAGCAAAACAGGAGAGGAACAGACCACTAATGTAGGTACGGAAAGAAACAACATTTCTAAAAGAATACAGCCATTTTGGGGCCGGGCGCGGTGGCTCAAGCCTGTAATCCCAGCACTTTGGGAGGCCGAGGAGGGTGGATCACGAGGTCAAGAGATCGAGACCATCCTGGTCAACATGGTGAAACCCCGTCTCTACTAAAAATACAAAAAATTAGCTGGGCATGGTGGCACATGCCTGTAATCCCAGCTACTCAGGAGGCTGAGGCAGGAGAATTGTCTGAAACCAGGAGGCGGAGGTTGCGGTGAGCCGAGATTGCGCCATTGCACTCCAGCCTGGGTAACAAGAGCAAAACTCCGTCTCAAAAAAAAAAAAAAAAAAAAAAAAAAAAAGAATACAGCCATTTTAAAAACAGCTTTTTTAGATAAAGAGGCTGAAAACATTTACAAAAAAGAAATCTTGTCCTTTACTTTAAAGTCATGAATATGTCCTTGTGAGACAGTCTGTAAAAACCCCTTTTAAGAGATTTGAACATCAAAGGTCTAATGTCTCCTGTGGAACATATCCTTTAATTCTAAATGATTTGGCCATCAGGAGTAACTATTGTGTATTCAAAATGGCATCTACAACTCTAAAAAAGACATGAATTGCCTTTTACTTTGTCAGACAAAAGAGTCTTATCTCCATCTTTGTATTTTTTAAATGCCCAATGGTAAATAAATCAGACTCTCCTAAGTTCCTTATCTTAAACAATGAGTTTGAAATATTTATTCCTGACATAATGGTATGCATAACCACTGCCTATGTTGCAAAGAAAGATTATTTGCTCTTCTCTGTCTCTATTAAAAGTAGAATTAAAGAAAATGGATTTACTGGGAGAAGCAAAGTTCAGGCTCAAGGAAGCACTCTTGTCACCGAAAGTTCTTAGACACTGGAATAGATTAGCAAAGAGATTACATATTATCTTTTGTGTAGGCCTCTAAAACCACAGTGAATTTAAGTCTGTCTGGGTTGTGGGTTTCTTACAAAACACCGTTAGTTCACTCAATAAGGATATTATGGAGATAGTTGTAGATGTGGAAAAGCTACCAAATATATTTACTGAGAAGAACTGTATTATTTATTATCTACCTTCCAACAAATGTTGTTTATGTCACTTTTAAAGAATATGATTCAGTTATTAACATCAAGTTCAGGACACACTGGAGTACATTCAATGTGCAGCATGTTGACAGCAAGAGCAAAGGACAGGATACTATCAGTGGAGATTTTCTCCATTGCAATGTAGCTCATAATCAGGATACTGCCAACTATTTGAATATTGGTTGACCAAGATTTAAATGTGGCATGGCTGTCAGAGCAGAAAAAAAGAACACCAAAAACAAAAAGACTTTTCTTCAGAGTAACACACAGCCTCCTGCTAAATTTTTCATTCCTATAAATTTTGGTTAATTCTGCTGGCCAAACAGCTCTAGATGAGTTCATGTTTCACAGTCATTAAGCCATGGGCACTGCATCATATAATGTGGGTTATGTGTGTATTTTGGCATTGAGCTTAGCTCCATGGTTAATCAAAATAACAAATGTTTTTGTTTTGTGGGAGGTATATGGAGTATGCAGAGATCAATAATTGAACTCAACATTCCCTGGGAATCTTAAATTTAGTTGAGAGGAAAAGGTATATACTTAAAAACATTATCAATAACACACAATGAAAAATTTCTTTATAGGCTCTTTCATGATCTAAAGGGAGTATGGATTTTTATCATCTTTTTCCATTATACTACCACAAAGCAGAGCTATTTGATGAAGTCTACATGGAAAGCCAATATCTTAATATAGTTCGTATATGTGTATAAAACTATCTTTCCCGCAAGAAAACTGTTTTTTGAATTAAGACAGTGTGTTCTAAATAGTCTCACGTCTCCCACAATGCCTACAGAACTGCCTTGACATAGCAGCTGTTCAAAAAGTATTTGTTGACCAATCATGACCATAAGCTTATGCCAAAATAAATATGTAACACTACAATGCTGAATATTTTATAATTATGAAGCATGAAACTGAATACTACTCACATGCAAAGAAAATTTGACTAGCTTCAGAATGCAATGTATCAATCTCATTCAAACTGGGAAGATACTTTCCAATGTAAGGGCCTCTGAGACTTAGGATTTGATTATTTTTTACATCCTTTGAGAAGGGGTTAGTCCATATGTGCATGTGTCCTGTCTGAAACCAGAGAACTGAGCCAATTGACGTTTCAGGTCCCTTTCTAACCACAAGTCTGTGATCCTCTTTATGGGTGAAGTTCACATTAATTTAAAGAAGAGTTGCAGGCCTGACGCGGTGACTCACCTGTAATCCCAGCACTTTGAAAGGCCAAGGTGGGCAGATCACTTGAGCCCCGGAGTTTGAGTCCAGATTGAGCAACATGGCCCAGCCCGGCTAATTTTTGATTTTCTGTAGAGACAGCCTGGGAGATGAAGGTTGCAGTGAGTTGTGATCATACCACTGAGCTTCAGTCTGGGCAACAGAGTGAGACCTTGCCTCAAAAAACAAAACAAAAAACGAAAAACAGAGCAGTTGTGCATGAACAAGAAATACCCTGAGTGTAAGATTAGAAACAAAAACAAAAACCTGGTGTGAGATGAATCCAGAACTCAAATTTCATGCAGGCCTAAGTCCTTTGAAGTAGCCACAGCAATATGTTTTGTTTTATTTTTTTCTTTCTGAAGACCTGCAATATAGGGTAGGCATAAAAGATTCACTTTGTAGAATCAGTCCAAAGCAATTCCTCTGTAACTTGTTTACAAAAATAGCCAAAGCAGTGGAAAAACTTCCTTCAGAATCAGGGTGATTGAAAGCATGTCTCATACAGAGAAAATTACTCACTTTCGGACTGGTCTAAAGTGTGAGGCATCACCACAAAAGAATAAACGAGTTTTTCTGCAAAAGATTCTCAGTAAAGATAAATGGAATGGTCATGTGATGTTCTTTCTTTTCTCTTCTCTTTTTGCTTTTAGGATACTTCTATAAGTGGTATTCAGGCATACTGACATGTTTTGTTTTCCTTCTATTTCTCTCTTTGCAAAAGGTGTTTTAAGGCACTTACCATTGCCAGCTAAATGTTCATATTATGACATCGTTCCTAGCAATCTTACGTTGATGGGCACTTTTCACTCAGACCATATTCTACTCGGTTCATCAAAAAAAAAAAAAAAAAGATTTTTTTCCTTGTTAGTCTCTTTTAACTTCTACTTCTCTGATTTTCTCTTCTCATACTTCTACTTACTTTCCAGATTTCATACTGCTGCTTTTAAAATTTAATGTCTTTTCCAGTGTATACATTGTTCCTTGTTTCAAACATGCGAGCCTGAGCACTTTGGCCCAATCCTTTTCATTTTCAGAGCCTTTAATTCCAGTGTGCTACTGTGTTTGCCGCAGCCTTGAGGACTATAACAAAATTTCATGTGGTGCAATGCATTATTCATTCATAAGCAGTTTTACAGGCCCATTCTTTTGCCCAAGGCACAAACATAAGCAATTGATCTCACTTCCTTTCCCTGTCCTTCTACCTAGGAATAAGAAATGTGACAGACATCAAGGACATCTAAAGCAGATGATAAATATATGGAAGAAATTATCCACTGTCCCAAGCTGTTGCTCCAAGCCTGCCCAGTGTCATCCCTTTCCCAAACTCAGTTCCTCCACCTCCTCCCCACCATCCTGAAGTAAATGGGAGTATGCCGTGTTACGGACTGAGTTGTATCTCCCAAAATTCACATGCTGAAGCCCTTGCTCCCAGTACCTCAGAATGTGACTGCATTTGGAAAGTGAGTTTTTGCTTAATTTTATTTTTTATTTTTAGATATAGGGTCTTGCTCTGTTGCCTAAACTGGAGTGCAGTGGTGCCATCATAGTTCACTGTAACCTCAAATTCCTGGGCTTAAGGGATCCTCCTGCCTAGCCTCCTGAGTACCTGGGACTACAGGCATGAACCACTATGCCTGGCTATTTTTTTGGGGGGGGTTAGGGGAGAGACAAGGTCTCGCTATGTTGCCTAAGCTGGTCTCGAACTTCTGAGCTCAAGTAATCCTCCTACCTTGGCCTCCCAAAGTGCTGGAATCACAGGTGTGAGCCACTGAGCCCAGCTGAGAGGTTTTTAAAAGAGGTAATTAATTAAAAACTTAATCCCATATGCCTCATGTCCTTATAATAAGGACATAGGCAGACATGGAAGACCGTGTAAAGTCACAGAGAGAAAGTGGCCATCTACAAGCCATGAAGAGAGGCCTCAGATGAAAGCAACCCTATCAACTGTCAACACCTTGATCTTGGGCTTCTAGACTCCAGAACTGTGAGAATGTTAATTTCTGTTGTTTAAGGCACTCAGTTCATGATTCTTTGTTAGGCAGCCCTAACAGACTAATACAGCCTGTCACAGTTGAAAGTCTCTTCTGATTGGCTAGTGCATTTGCCATGCTGAGTATTTTCAACAGCTTTTCTGGTTGAAGCAGAACAGTTAAATATTTAGAGGCAGAGCACAGGAAAATCAATCTCCCAAAAGCAACACATTTGCATAACAGAAAATCCACAGGTGGCTGACCCTGATGTGACCAGTCCGCCCACTCAGTAGGTAGAGCATGAGACTCTTAATCTCAGGGTCATGGGTTCAAGCCCCACATTGGGCACCAGCTGTGACAATGGTCACATGGAGGTCACCACCTGAAATGTTGATCACCACCTGCAGGGTTCTGTCCTGCAAACCCTGACTCTGTGGTGGATGAATAAATACACTCAAACACAGAGTACAGTGAACGAGTGGACTAGGGGGTCACTCACTTCCCACAGAGAGAGATCACAGCTGTACAACACCCACTAGTTCTCCTTCCTCACATTTATTTAGTATAGATTTAACAACAAAGGCTTTGAGGAAACACACTTGTGGATAATTAACATGATTAAAAGAGTCGTTTTTCCGAAAGACTAAAGCTCAGGTACCAATGCCCAGGGCAAACACCATTAAAGGATAATATCCCTGGTTAACCTACCCCCAAGAGGGCCATCCGGCCCAAAGGTTAGTTTTAAGACCACATGAGTAAACAGTATAGAGACAAAGGAATGTGGGGTACACAGACTTAACTGAGGAAGCTTCTATTATCCTAATCTTTACCCTATGACCTAATGCTCTAAGGTAAGAACCGGCTGCCTTCAGCCTGTTCCACTATTACAAGTTAGGAAAACCTTTTGGACTTCCAAAAGGTTTGAGACTATATGTTATAACTTTCCCTAATATTTTGCCAACAACCCTGAATGAATCCCAACAGGTGGTACCTTTTCTTACATGGCAGCTCGCTCTAGTAGTAGAATCTGACTATGCCTTTCAGCAATTTCTTTTTTGTTTGTTTGTTTGAGACTGAGTTTTGCTCTTGTTGCCCAGGCTGGAGTGCAACGGCACAATCTCGGCTCACCACAACCTCTGCCTCCGGGGTTCGAGCAATTCTCCTCCCACAGCCTCACAAGTAGTCAGAATTACAGATATGTGGCACCGTGCACGGCTAATTTTGTATTTTTAGTAGAGACGGGGTTTCTTCATGTTGGTCAGGCTGGTCTCGAACTCCCAACCTCAGGTGATCCACCCACCTCGGCCTCCCAAAGTGCTGGGATTACAGGCATGAGCCACCATGCTGGGCTGGTGCCATTTCTTAGTAATATGACTTGAACTGCTGTAGAGGCCACCTGGAGGTTCTTGCCTTTTCCTGGGATAAGAGTGCAAACAAGTGTTCAAACAATCTAAGCAAAAGTATTACATAGGAACCAGGAGAATGCATTTAGCTTCAAAATAGGATAATAATACTTTTACTATCCTAGGATTATTGGGAGAATTAAATGAGATAAGGTGTAATGTACCAAACACAGTGTCTTTAATATCCATTACATATTCAATGAATACTATTATGTGAAACAAAGTGCAGACCCAGTTAATGAAGTACTGATTTTCAGCTATAGAAGCAGGTATTTCCTGAGTTGATGGCTAATGGAATTTTTTCTTTCTTGAAGAACTTCCTGTGAATAAAACTGGACCTATCAGTATCCCTATATTTAAACTTCAGGTTATGGTGGAAACAACAATTTTCTGGGAATAGATTTTAGAATAGTAGCTTTGGCATAATTCTGTGGCATTTTCTTGGAATTTCACCAAGTTTCATCAGTAAGACTGTCAAATTTAAGTAATTTGCACTATGTCCATCCACCATGTTCCCATTAACACTAAATTATTCCCCAAGCAGAAATATTATTAAATAGGCAGAAAATGTTTTTAAATTTACTGGGATTACACTTTTATTTAAATGATCTAGCATTTTATGAAACTGCACTTAACTAGAATCAATTACATTACTACTTACATAGCTGAAAATAAGTTGGAATTATAATAGTGTCTGGCCTATTACAGATATTTAATAGATTTATCTCATTTAAGGATCTCAAAACACATAATAATTATGGAGGTGTGTTTCTCATCTGCTCCAATTTCCTTACGTACCAAATGAGACAGTAAATCTGCAAGAGGTTGCCCAACGTCAAGGCAAGGCACGCAAGAGATCGCCCAGCGTCAAGGCAAGGCACGCAAGAGAT